AGCCACATGCAGCTCTTTGGCCCCTTGAGTGTGGCTCTTCCACAAAATACCACGTGCGGGCACATATGTACAGTGCGATTGAAACTTCGTGGCCCATGCGCGTAAGTCGATTTTTGGCCTGGGCGAGTCTATTTTAAAGAAGTGGCGTTAGAAGAAGTGGGGGTACGTTCGCTGAGGTCGACCCCTCAGATTGAGGACGTTTTTAACAAGGGCCAGCTTAGGAGTAGCTTAATTAAGTTAATGACAATGTACCTACCTATATAGTTTAAAAAATTCGGCTCTCCAAAGAAATTTCAATCGTTGTACTGTTGATATTTGAGTCTATTGACTGAGTTTGGTGATCACTGGCATATACTATTGGCTCTATCAAAATACATTGAGAATATTACTACCCATTTCCATTGCCCTCAGCCTCATTCAAACTATACCATTTCTCATCTGGACCACTGTGCTACCCTAATACTATCCACGTCTAGCCCTGCTTTGCTCAGAACCCTGACAGTTTCCCACCTGACTCAATGAAAGTCTAAGCCTTTAGAAAGGCCTACAATGCCCTATATAATTATTTACAATCAGGCACAATCATTATCCCTTCTCTCTCTAACCTTACTTTCTAATTCTGGCAATATTCTTCTTGTTCATTATAGTCACAGTGACTGCCTCGCTGTTTCTTGAGAACACCAAGCACACTACTAACTTAGGGCCCTAGCATGTAATAGTCCTTCTGCCTGAAAAGCCCTTCTCACAGACACGCATATGGCTATTTGTTCACTTCATCAGGTCTCTGCTCTATGTCACTTTATCAGTGTTCACTCTACTTAAAATAGCAACACCACACCCCAGACACTTTCTGACTTTTCTTAATAACCATGTTACCGCCCTGACTGGTTTGGCTCAGTGGATAGAGCGTCGGCCTGCGGACTCAAGGGTCCCAGGTTCGATTCCGGTCAAGGGCATGTACCTTGGTTGCGGGCACATATCCAGTGGGGAGTGTGCAGGAGGCAGCTGATCAATGTGTCTCTCTCATCGATGTTTCTAACTCTCTCTCTCTCTCCCTTCCTCTCTGTAAAAAAATCAATAAAATATATATTTTTAAAAATAACCATGCTACCATATGATAAACTATGTAATCAATTAAAATGAAAATCCCATAGGGATTAGAAGTAATTACCTATTCTGTGCCTTATATACTCAAACTTATAACACTTCTTGGCATATAATACATGCTTGAGAATTATTGAAATATTTAATCCAAGAGAAATAAGTCTGATTATAAAAATAAGTGGTAGGATAAAACAGGAAATGCAAGACATTTCAGTTTATATAAAAAGTTTTGTTGAAAAGAGAATTTTAGCGATTGTTTTTATTCAAATATCGAGGTGTATTCATTTAACATTTACTAGGTGTTGTAGATACAGTTCTGTTTGAACTTCCTAACAAGTCTGGTAAGTATCACTATTTTACAGATGATGAAACTGAAAATGACAGCAGTCAAGTGACATATCTGAAAGTCACACAGCAAGGATGCTGCAAAAAAGAAACCAACTCAGGTTTCTCTGATATTGCTCCTATAAACTCTCAATATTCAAAGTAGTTTCAAGGAATGATATAAATCCAAAATAGGTAAGAGTTCTACATCTGTAGATAAAAAATATTATTTATGAATTTGCTATAAGCCATTTCATTTGTATGATAGGAAAATGCAGGTAAAGTACTAAGTAAATAAACGTCATTTAATTCAATATTCAAAAAATTTTAATTTTCTAAGTTTAGTAGTTAAAATACTATATTCAAATAACAAATTGTTCAAGTAGGTATTAGTCTTCCTTCTTTCATGGTTCAAATGCAATTGGTAACAATAATATAAAAGCAAATTTTCTTCTCACCTTAAAAAATTTAGCCACAATCTATTTTCTACATGGGAAAATAAGTTATGGGTAATAATCAATAATAGTCAATGAATACACACACAGACATGAGTTATGGGTAAATCTGGCTTGGCTTATTTTTGTTAGCTTTTAAAAATAATTATAAGATGGTTATTGAATATTTCATATTGTCCACTTAAACTTTTATTTTTTAAATATATTTTTATTGATTCCAAAGAGGGAAAGGAAGAGATGAGAATAATTGATCAGCTGCCTCCTACACACCTTCAACTGGGGTCCAAGCCCGCAACCCTGCGAATTGAACTGTGACCTCCTGGTTCACAGGTCGATGCACAACCAGAGCCACACCGGCTGGGCTCCACTTTATCTTAATACTTAGAACAATCCATGAAGTTTATAGAACAATTTTCATATTTTAAAGCTGTAAAAGCCAAAATGCAGGATAAAACTTCTTTAAAATGAAAGAAGTTCTTTTTGGGGGGGAGTGCGGGGAGACTAAAAAATGTTTAATAAAACTATTTTATTATAATTCAACCATTTATGGACCATATTTTCATAAAATACAGCAAAACTGCAATATCAGCATCGTAAAACAAGATTCTATATTCATATTAAAATCTAACATTATTATTATAAAAGGTTCTAATAAATTGTAAAAAAAATTGCACAAAAGTCTAAAAAATGGGGCGTGTGCCATCTCGGAGCAGTCTGTACCTTTACCCCTCTCCTCCCGTGTCCGTCCCCCATCCCACCCCCCCGCCCGGCATGTTCTTTGCCTTTCTTTCCCTTGAGCTCCAAGGACCCTTCTTTTTCCTCTGCAACTTGTTTCCTGAGTCCATGCAGCCCTGCAGGTTCACTTGTTCCACAGGCTCTTCTTCTACCCCTGTGACTTTCTAGACTCTTGCTTGCATTTGAAAAAAAAAAGAGGTCAAACCAGTAACAACTAGAAAAGGAACAAAGGAAGCACTAGCTATATAGGATACTAAAGATTATAGGTGGCAATAGCAAATGTATGATTTTTACTCAGATTGGCAACTGGAGCTCAGCCAGTGTAGCTCAGTGGTTGAGCAACCACCTATCAGAACACATGCTTGGGTTTCTGAGCTCTATCCACAGTGGGGGGCTGGCTGGAGGCAGCCAATCAATGTTTCTCTCTCATCATTGTTGTTTTTCTCTCTCTCCATTTCCATTCCCTTCCTCTCTGAAATCAATAAAAATGTGTGTGTATGTATAGACAGATAGATATAGATATATTTAGATACAGATTAGTGTTTGGAAAAAGATAAATTGTGCTTTAAAAACTTAAAGATTTGTTCTAGTAGAAGTAAAAGTTCCCTGGAACAATTAATGAGTGAATTAGTGATAATTCACCTAAGGCTTGGGCAGAAATTCACCGTTTTACAATCTATAATCTATGTAAATTTACCGTAATTAGACTGCCTTTTTGGTTTCCACAGTACTATTCAGAGATAACTAGGTCTTGTTAAGCAAAAATATGTTAAGCAATCTTTTTTGTCTGGTAGTTACCAAATATTTATGAAATAAAACTACATTCATTTAAAAATTATATGATCTAGAATATTTAATAATTCAGACTAGTCTTTCCTATTAAGGAAATCAATGAGATTTTGCTGTTATTTCTCTTTTCCCCTGAAGAGAAAATGAATCCTTCTTGTAAATGTTTCCTTGTAGTAATTCCCAGTATCACTCAGGAAGTAACACTTCCTCAAGAAGGGAGAAGTCCTCTTTAAGAATAAGAATTCTGCTATAGAAATAAGAGCCCTGGCTGATTTGGCTCAGTGGATAGAGTGTTGGCCTGGGGACTGAAAGGTCCCAGGTTCAATTCTGGTCAAGGGTATGTACCTTAGTTGCAGGCACATACCCAGTGGGGACTGTGCAGGAGGCAGCTGATCGATGTTTCTAACTCTCTACCCCTCTCCCTTCCTCTCTGTAAAAAATCAATAAAAATATATATTTTTTAAAAAGAAATAAGATTAAGATATTATTTTGCCTTTCTCTTAGTCTAACAAAATGCACTTAAATCATTAAAATGTTCCCAATTTATATGATGTTTTAGACATTTGGTAAGCACATGGTGTGCTATAAAATTTTAGCCTATAGGAGCTTTAAAAGCCCCCCCAAAAAACATTTATCAGAATATGAAATACCACAAGAGTTTTAAGTATACTTCTACAAGACTAAGTAAAATTAAGTGAACATTCTACTTCCTTCTCAAGCAGAGCACATAATTTCAATAAATCCTTTCATAATTTTACATTAACCATTAGGCAGAAAGAACACATTCTGTTGAAGAAATTCATAGTTCAAGCTAAATGTCTGATTGCTAATACACTTCATGTTCTGAATCCAAGCTATCTAATAGGGTAATATGAAAATTGGCCGGGACGCCATCACATAACAGCCAATCAGGAAGCTGCATGCTCAGCAGGAGCGGTTAGGCAGGGACTTGCAGCATCGGTGGGTGGGCCACCTGTGCCGGCCCAGGAACGTGAGGTTCACATCCCTGTCCCTGGCAATGGGCCCAGGATGTGAGGCTTGCATTCCAGCCCCCAGCAACAGGCCCAGGACGTGAGGCTCATGTCCCTGCCCCTGGCAAAGGGCAAATAGCAATATTAAAATATTTCCTCTAGTTAATTCCCTTTTAACATGCATGGATTTTGTGCACTGGGCCACTAGTCTATAATAATAAAAGTGTAATACACTAATTAGACCGGACATCCTTCTGGACGTCCTTCCAGATGAAGCCGGGGCTGCAAGGGAAGCCCAGGTCCCAGGTGCCAGAAGGAAAGCCTACTCTTCCACAAATTTCGTTTATCAGGACTCTAGTGCTACATAGTTTGTATGCTTTAAGAACTGGTTACCTTTAAATTCTTTCTTCCTCCCCTCATCATGACAGATTTGTTAAAGATAAATTTTTGGTTTACTAGATGAAAAGGCATTTGTGCTTAAGAGAAATAATCCTCTGAGTCAGTCTAACATCCCATAGAAGGCCCTCAAATTTCAGTTTAAGAAACACTAGTCCAGAGTATTTCAGAGTAAAACCCAAATCGATAAACTCTATCTGTACATTATACACAAAAATACTGCTACTGTCAAAAATGTTTCATCAAGAATTTTACTGACAGCATTTAAAAAAAAACAAGAAATCATTAGACAATGAAAGACAAACATTGTAACACAGAGACAGGTCAGCACACAATACACCATTTTTAAATGTCCAATTCAGGACATTAACACTATGTTCCTCGCAACAACTTCTCTATCCTCTCACAGTTGAGAATCAACACCTGGTTCTACTTTCTTCAAGTAGTATTAATACATTTAAATGCTATTCTATAAGAAGCAAGTTGTTTCCAATATAAGCACCATTGAGTATTTCATCCCATACACAGGAAATAATCCTGCAAATTTTACAGGAGGATTCCTGGGAAGGCACTTAAAGCTAACTAATTAAAGAACCACAATATTTAGACCTCTTTTTTATAATGCAGGTTCCTTAACACTGTCCTCATGTTTCCCAATAGATCAAATGCTGTTCAAATGTAAATTAATAAAGTTAAGACAAGAGGGGACAGCCTACAGCGTGACTGATACATGAGGCAGAGTAACTTTGCCTCCAAAGTAAGTGAACGTTATGACTAAGGAAGTAAGAGAACTAGAAGGAGCAGAGAGTAATGCAGGCATGGCCTGGGTAGGATTGGGCTCTTGACTTAAGGGAACAAAGTTTCATTTTAGTTTTCAGATTCAAAAAGTCTTGAACGTATCTTTGGATAAGTCAGCAAAGTAAACAGTTTCATATATATGCATTTTTTAAAATGTCATCTGTAACTTTTAAGTGTTTCTTTACTCAAAGAGATGACAAAGACATTACCATTAGTTCGGGCTATAAAATGACAACTGAGTCCTGACCGGTATGGCTCAGTGGATAGAGCATTGGCCTATGGACTGAAGGGTTGCAGGTTCGATTCCAGTCAAGGGCATGTACCTTGGTTGCGGGTACATCCCCAGTAGGGAGTGTGCAGGAGGCAGCTGATCGATGTTTCTCTCTCATCGATGTTTCTAACTCTCTATCCCTCTCCCTTCCTCTCTGTAAAAATATCAATAAAATATATATTTTTTAAAAATGACAACTGGTATGATTTCACTTAAATTATATATTTTGGAACTTGGCAAAAATGGGCAATATTCTTCAAGTTCAGCAATTGTGCCTTGGAGATAAGAGTCAAATTATAAAGACTCAAATGTCCAACAATCTAAATTATTTACTTATAATAAACCTGATATTAAAATATCACTTATGTTAAATCATAATACTGTTGGTATGTTCAGTTCTAGTGCGTGATTCTAATACTTAAAAAATTGTTTTCCAGCCCTGCTGGTGTGGCTCAGTCGACTTGGTACATGGTACATCCCATGTACCAAAAGGCTGCCAGTTCAATTCCCAGCCAGGGCACATGCCCAAGTTGCAGCCTCTATCCTGGGTAGGGGGTGTGCAGGAGGCAGCTGATTGATGTGTCACTCTCACATCAGTGTCCCTTTCTCTCTCTCTCTAAAAAAAATTTTTTTTAAAAATCAATGTGTGTGTTTTTTCCACTATTATATCAGTGTTTGACTAAGTAATTTCATTAAGAAAACAGCAGTTTCTCCCAGCTTATTAACAAAAACACAAACCAACCATAAAAACCTTTCAAATGCTATTATTTTCCCTTAAGTAATCAATACTAAAAATCACTCATTAATAAATTCACCACCAAAAATAAAACTTCAGCTTAAATCCCAATAGAAATGGCCTTATGAAAAAATATTGTTTACTTTCTCCACTCATACAAAGAAACTAGAAATGTTATTGAAATTGTGACTGAACTGTGAATGTGAACAATTTTCACATCACTGAGCTATTAGATGGTTTGAAGTGGAATGTACCTCTGTTCTGCTACTAGTACAAAACAATGCCTTTTATGTGAATTAGAAAAGACTGTCCTTTTGTCAATATACTTCATTGCCAAAAGTCAGAAAACTGATTATTAGCAATACTGTGACTGTACTAATGTAAATGGCATCCTTGAGTTGTGCACAATTATGTTCTCTCATAATATTCCTTACTCTGTTATCTTCTATTCCTATACATATCTTCATTAAATCTACAACATCAGAACTACGGTTCTCTTAAAGAGAAACAGAAAGGGCCCTCAATACAACTCCCAATAACACAAAATGACAGTTAAAGAGATCATACATATGCCATTAATAGCAACAATAATGATAAGACTTAAATATTGATCTTAATTCTCTCATAAGGCTATCTCAATGTCTGATTCTGAGACCATTAATATATGAGCCTTGCTCTTTCAAATATAAATGGTACTTTTAAACTGACAGAATACAGAAAACTTACAATTCACATTAAGAATAAACAGGCAATGCTGATACGCTTATTGACAATACTAGCTAATGGTTGGAAAACGAAGTAACTGGACATCATCTTTCCAATTCCAAACTTTTCAGATAAAGTATGTGCATAGGACCATGGCAGCTTTCACAGAAAACCAGAGCTGAAAGTTGGAGCACTTCCAATATCCAAAAACGTATTAGCTGCATCAGAAAATCATTATCCCAGAAGTCAAGGCCAAGAAATATTCTTCTTAATTGTGCAGAGATGAATACATTAAGCCGTACCATCAGATTATATCACCAAATATTAAGGTTATTTAAAATCTTTATAATTCCACAAATTCATGGTGAATAAAACCTCTAAATTTCAAGAATTAAAATTTACAAAAATAAATACCACTCTGACACTCAAGGGACATCTTCATTTTAAGGCCTTTATCACAAATCTGAATCTTTATTGTTCTGAAATAAATGTTATCAACATAACTCAAAACAAAAACTCCAATATTCAGTCTTAGAAGAGGTGTGGCACAAGGCCCATCACATGTAACAAGAAAACTTCCTTTAAAAAAAAAAAAAGAAAAAAAATACTATGAGAAGTCTTTCATATGAATAAAAATGCACCCTTGGATTTTTTTTTCCTCAGCTCATTAGCTTGTATGCGCGTAGGAATCAAAAGGTTTGCATTTTCTTCACAATAGTTCTTGCTATGATATTTGACGGACTTTTTGCCACTCAACAAATTCATCAAGAAGAACAGGCCCTAGAAATAAAGGAACATTTTCTGTTAGAATTCAGTGAACTCTTCTAACTATAAAACAAACTCCCCACAAGTTCTGTGATAACAAGGAACTGATCCTTCCCTTTTTCAAGTGTTTTGCTTCCAACTGCCCTCTTCTACTTAGTGCTGCCTTAGCTTTTTCTCTTTTTACATAAGGGACTTTTTTCACAATTGGTATCTGTAGCACTTCCTTCTCAAGGATTGTGTTTCACAAACTCTACAATAACTAAATCAATGTTAACCTCGCCCTTTTCCCAACTGCCCATAGAATTTGCTATTAAATTATTTAAAAATCTGAAAAGTGTTAAATGTAGTATTTCTATGCTACCTCACCAATAAGTATATAAGCTTGTTGAAGGGGTAGCCATAATACAGATTTATATGGTTCCAGTATCAGGACCTAGTAAATATCTGCATACAAAGTAAGTGCCTAATAAATACCCGATCTAAGAACTATTCTAAAAAGACATTTTTATAATACAGGGGGTTCAAACTCATTTACCTATAAAAGCCAAGCAGGAAGGCAAAAGTAAACAAGCTCAGTGTTTACTTTATTAAATGTAGGAAAACACTGCCACGAAGAAACATGACTGCCCTATTTTTCTGAAAATGCACAACCTATGGTAGTCTCTATTTTTCTCATGCTTGTGAAAGACTGTAAGATAAATAGCAAACAAACACAATCATAAATTGCAACTGAAAAGCACCCTAGTTGTTGGCATAGCAAGAAAACTGGAAAGGAAGTCCAACATGAGCCACTACTTGGCTCTAGCTACTAATTCCTATGAAAGTTTTGTCACATTTTAGAAAAAGCTTTCAAGTAAGTATCATAAGGTTTTTCTATTATAGCTGATGGTTTTTTTCCCTAGTTTTTTAAATCATGACTGTACTTTTCTTCCATAGAAAAATACCAGGAAAGGCAGAAATGAAGACTTTTAGCTTCTAGATACAAAAATTGTAATTTAAATTAAGCTTTATAATGCTGTTACTGAGAAATTAAAAATATTTCATTTATCAATCTAAGCTCTCTGCCTACCTTCTACACCTGCCTCCTCCCACATGATTAAATACTAAAAATTACTGCTACAAAGTTAAAATCGTTTATGGTAATGCTACACAAATTCGTATTCTCATTTAGTAGTTTAAGAATTTTATTTTCACAGAAAAACATTATACTTACAAGCACCATCTTCATCATAGTTACTAAGATCAGCATGGACTGTTCTGCTGAATTCTAATACATTGTACCACTGATCTTTATTCATAACACGATACTTTGATTGCTGAAGAAAATGATATAAATATTTGGATTATAGAACATGCATTATTTATTAGGGCTTGACTGCAATAAATCTAGTTATATTTTATAATTTGGTTTTTCTAAAACATTTATTGTTTTTTTTAAATTGTGTTTTTAAATCCTCAGGGCCCTGGCCTATGTTGCTAGGTGGTTAGAGCATCGGCCTGAGCATCACAGAGTTACAGGTTTGATTTCCAGTCAAGGGCACATACCTGGGTTGCAGGTTTGATCCCTGGCCCGGTCAGGCACATGCAGGAGGTAGCCAATCAATGTGTCCCTCTCACTTCGATGTGTTCTTTTCTCTCTCTCCTTCCCTTCATCCTTCCCTCCCTCCCTCCCACTCTCTATAAAAATCAATGGAAAAAATATCCTTGGGTGAGGATTTACAAAAAAGAGAGAGCACCAACTTATTTTTTCCTTATTTTTCTTTCATTTTTCAAGAATACAAGCACATCAGGGTACTATTTTTTATCTATGCATATACTTATGTAACCACAAATGAGATCAAGATATACAACATTCTCTGCAACCAGTAAGTTCCCTTGTGTGACTTTTCCCAGTAACTCATTTCTTTGCATGAGATTTATTGTTTGGCCACATTCTGAAGTTGGCTTCTTTGGCGGCATTGGAAAGACTATAGGCATGGGTTCAAATCTCACTTCTGCCACTTATAAGTGACCTTAGGAAGTTATGTATCAATAGAAGCCATCTCCTCATTTGTTAATGGGGATAAAATATAATTCAAAATGGTATTATAAAGATTTTAAAAGAGCCCTCGCAGGTGTGGCTCAGTTGGTTGGAGCATCATCCCATATACCAAAAGGTGGTGGGTTTGATTCCCAGCATGCCTGGGTTGTAGGTTCCATCCCTGGTCAGAGTGTATTCAGGAGGCAATGGATCAATGTTTCTCTCTTTTTCTCTCAAATTAAAAACAAACAAACAAACAAAAAACAATAAATAAAAAGATTTAAAAAGATAGTATGGGAAGCATCCTCTGCTGGATAACAAGTGTTTGAAAATATTTAGTTCTTTCAGTTCCCTTTAGGGGTGAGTATTTTCATATTCAGTTATTTTTATTCTTGTCAAAACTACTGACAGGAGAAATATTGATAATATCCATTAATAACATCAACTTTATTAAGCTTAAAGATTTAAGTGTGTACAAAACCGTTTCACATAAGGCCTTTTCATACCATTGTTTAACACAAGCTTTAAACAAAACTACTTTGGGGAACTTGCTATGATAAACAATTAGCTTTTTGAGAAATTATTTTCAAAGCAAAAGCACAAGGATCTATAATTCAAGGAATGGTGAGAACCATATCAAAAAACCTGAAATTGAAAAGGCACAAAAACAGAAAAGCAAAAAAAAGCAATGAAAAAAAAAAAAAGAATAGTATCTTCTTAAAACCACTGCCTATAGTAGATGCTATGATAAACCTTCTAAAAGAATACTTTCTTCATAAATTCAGCATACGTTTTCAGTAATCAGTACATTTCAGTACACCATTATAGCCACTCTCGTATGTATGGACATCAAATATTAAAAGCTTTATTTGAACTTTTTAAATTGAGTCCATGTGAAAAGTTGTAGTACCATACTTGGTTCTTATGTGGATTTCAGCCTAAGACCCTGTGTAACAGAAAGAAACCTGATTTAGAAGCTTGAGATTTATACACTAATATCAATTTTCTCCTGCCAAAAGCCCAAGAAACTATTTTGTCTGAAGACTGCGTTAAAATATTTCTTGAAGGTTTATTTTTTAATGGAGGGCAGGAGTAAAATAACTATGTACAGAATATATTATTTAACATGAACTTGGGTCTAAAAATGAAAGTAGGTATGTAAACATTTTAACAAATTTTCTACTAAAGCAAATATTTTTAAAGGTATAATATTAAAAATCTATTTGCTTTTCCTCAATTAAAGGTATGTTTTCAATCAGAT